TTTATAGCTCCATGAGTTACAGCCAATGCAGTTTGACGTCCTTCCTCTCTCAACCTCACTTCCTCCTGAACACACATATTAGTCAGCTCATTCAAATTCCACTTATCTTTATTGGTGTTATAGTGAATTTTGAATGCGCTATATTGTGATGGAAGTGAGTTGAGAATAAACTGCACGAGGAAAGTTTCATCAACTTGCATTCCTAAAGTTTTAAGCTTTGCAGCTTTGTCAGCCATATTGAGGATGTGATCCTGAACTCCTTGGTTGCCATCATATTTCATTGTTGTCAATTTAGCCATGATAGTGCCAGCAAGTGGCTTGTCAGCAGATCTAAATCGATCTTCAACAGCCTTTAAGTATTCCAATGCATTAACAGTTTGAGGTAAGGAGGTCTTGATGTTATTTGCAATGGTCATCTTCATGAACATCAAACTGAGTCTATTGGACTTTTTCCAGGATTCAGAAAGGGCAACTTGTTCTGCAGTACTATATTCATTAATGTCTGCAGGTTTATCTTCAAGCAATGCCATATCGAGGTCCAACATACCCAGTGTAAACTGAACATGTTCATACCATTCCGAAAAATTTGAGCCAGTAAGTATAGGGACGCCCGATGCAAGAGAGTGCAATGAGGTGGGAACTTTTACTGAAATAAGATAGAACAATATACATATTAAAGCTTTGAGAATTATGATGAACTATTGATATCACATAAGTTTTTCCTTTGGGCAAAACTTAGGTATATCTATTGTCCACTTGTTAAGAATCACTTATGTAGGTCTAAAGTAATTTATGCAATTTTTCAGCTAGTCATGTTACCTTTGGGTATTCAATTCTAATCTTTCAAATTACATAAGTTACATTATCCTACCCAGTTCATAATTATTTGAAAGTGACTCTCCTTTGGGCTAGTTTCAATCTCCTAATTATAACTGCAATTGAGAATATTATCGACCTTAATGTTACCCTTTTTAACAATTCTTTTATGTAGTTCTATATTCATAAGTTTTACAAATCTAGGCCACTTTGGCAGCTACTAAATTAGTAAACCCTATGAATACGAAACTAACCAACAATATTTTCTATTCATTAATTTTGAGTTATTTAATTATCATTAATTCAATCACAATTTTTATGAGATCACTATTTTTTATGATTTCTAAAATTTCTTTTATGTGATTGCTATTACCAATATAATAATAATAACTCTGGATGAACAGGAATATTTATATATGTATTATAACAATCATGAATATCTAAAATAATGGTTAATAAGAATTACACCTAATATGAATTAACCACTTTAATATTTAATATTCAATGTCATAAAATTATATCATGATATCAATTTTAAATCATGAAAATATATAAATATTTAACAATAATAGACAATAAGTGTGCATAATTAAACAAAGCAAAAACATAATCCTCTAATATGATACAATCAAATAAATATATTTATTTAATAGTCCGAACGATTCAGCAAAATTCTAAAATTGGTTTTAATCTATGCACTTTATCATAACGGCAAGCAATACACTCAATTCAATAACATATTATGATGATTATAAAAATTATTATCACTAAAAATTGATAATAAATCAAAACATACATATGAACAGCATATAGAATTACATAAAAGTTTGCACCTAACATATCACAAAACAAAGTGAGTGAGGGAGTCCATGATGTGCATACTTAGGCCAAGTTTGGGAAGACTAAATAAGTGCACTTTTTGTTTTTTTGGACTAAAAAATTGAGGTTGAAAATATGGATGTTTGGGTTAACTTTTTGACTTTTTATTGAAAAATGTGTAATAAAAAATTGTAAAAATTGATTTGTAGGGAAAAATTTGAATTGGGAGTTGTATTGGGAGTTGTGCAGCCGTAATTGTTGACTTTTGGTGAATAGTGTTAACTTTTTAACTTTTTGAGTAACTTTTTGACTTTTTGACTTTTTTGGAACTACTCAAACTTGGCCTTAGTTACGATTTAGAAATCAGGAATAAAATCTTCTTTTACACAACCTTTGACTTTTAACAACACAAAAAGAATTTCTTTGATGCATAATGAATATGAAAGAGATTAGATGTACCATTCAGACACTGCCTTATAAATATGGCATGCAGCTTACAAGGTTGAACATACAGCGTATATTCAAGATAACCAACACATGCCGAGAGTTCAAACCTTATGAACAAAAAATATGTTGTTATGAATAATTATAACTATAATAACAATATTCATAAATATATTATTATTCCAAGGTGTATTGATTCATAAACTAAAGCTCTGATACCACATGTAAGATTTAATAATACATGTAACCATAATAATAATGTGGAATTAAACTTTTCAGGATCTTGAATTCAATACAACTCAAGAATAAAATGAACATACATTTGTCAGCCATTGAATTAGAGAAGTTGAAAAAATACCCTTAATAATTGAACCTTTAATTCTTGGCTCACTTTCTTCTCTCTGTCTCTCACTTTATTAGGATGACTATAAAACTTAAAGTGATGGAAAAATACTCATGATATGAAAGGGGAGTCACCCATCCTTATATAGAGGAGAGAAGAGAGCCAGATAAACTCTATCAGAAGAATTCCTAATCTATCAAGGTTTCCTTCTTATCTTAGAAGAGTGATTATATTAAAATTCTATTTACTGAACTTGATCTCAAATATTGGCTTTATTTATTTGTGGAGTCCAAATAAATTAAAACATGTAAAAACTATGTAGGCTATTGGGCCACACTAGAAAAATAAATCCAACAAGCGAGTGGGAGGGTTTAATATATGTATGTACATATTAACTGTTTCAATCCCAAAAGATTCTGTATATTGTTGTTCTCAGTGCTTATCTATATATGGAGGTCTATCTTGTTGTTCAAAAAACCGGTACAACAAAATTGGCTTGGTGAGAGAGGAGAAGAGAGGTAGTGTCTCTGCAACAGAGAAGAGATAAAGATGTTGATTGGATTTTATTTGCTTCTCATTTGTAAAAGCTGTCGAACTATGTCTCTTCTCAGAATCTTGACCACTGGAGTGTTTTTGCTCTTCCCCATAGTGTTGTTTTTATTTTGTTTATTCTAACGGTAGGCTATTGTATTCGTGTTTTCCAAAGAGCTCCCTGATGTATTGCTCATTTTCTGCAGAAAATCAAGGAGGGAGGATCTAACAACCAGAACCCATAATAATTTTTTGCTGCTTATAACTAGATCATATGTATTAAGTTCAATTGTTCAAGTGAACGTTGTGAGATTTATGCAATATTTTAATTTAGTAATTAGGTATTTTTGGCCTAACTCTTGCTTGCTCAATTTTCTTTTTTCATCTATTTTGGTAAAATTGTAAGTGGGCCACCAGACAATTGCTTTGAACAAATATCAAACAAGAACAACATTTGAGTGGTGTTTTCATGTGCGTTATGTTCTGTGTGAATGAGTAGTTTTGGTCTTGCCTTGTTTCAAGAAAATAGATGGCTTTTCACTATTGCTCTATTACAATCTAGTTTCCTAGTTTAATGTCCTCATAAATTGTTTTGGGTGAATAATGTCCTCATAAATTTAGTTGTTTTGTTCATTCTTCTTATAATTTGGGTGGAATTGTCACATGTTACAATTTGATCCAAGAGCATAGTTGATCAAGAGGTAGTTTCTTTGGGCATGAGATCTTTTGTCCCTGAATACTTAAAGGGTAAATTACACTTACACTTTCTGAGATTTGGATTTAATACATATTACTCGATGTTTGGAAAATTATATTAACCCCCTTATCATTGTAATTATTTAAACGGAATGAAAATATTGAATTCATGCACTCGCTTTTTTCTTGTTTTGCTTTATTTATTTATTTTTTTTGATAAATTACAAACATACCCTCTAAGGTTTATTTAAATTACAAATTACTCCTGTGGTTCTAGAAATTACATCATGCCCCTTAAGTTTTCTAATTTCATAACAAATAGATCTTTTTATTAATAAATCATCAAGTTAGTTAATAGTTTTTAATAATGTTAAAATTTTATTTCAATTAATAATTCAGATAATTTTATTATTGTATAGGGGAATAGTTAGAAATTTTACTTTTTCAATTAATTAAAATTATGACAAGGATGTATTTGTAATTTTTCAAACTGCAGGGGCAATTCGTATTTTAAGTAAATTTTAGGGAGTGTATTTGTAATTTTTGCATTTTATATAAGTAGATGATTTGTAAAATAAAACTATTAGTCACAAGAGTGGGAATGTAATTTTTAAAATATCAAGAAGTGAGATGTAATTGAACTAAATTTTAGTAGGTGTAAGTGTAATTTATCTTTAAAAGCTATTAAATTATGTCTTTAGATTACCGCACTAATAAATTTTAATATAATTCAGTAGCAGCAAGTTTTTAAGAGGACAGAATATTTGAGAAGAGAAGATGGATAACACTTTTTGGCTTCGCTTTCAACAAGAATAAGCAAGCTTGCCATGTATAATATTTTTTGTTTCCTTGTGACATTTTCTGATCTCATTATATACACATGTTTAATCACGCCATTATAACAAACCTCCAGTCTCATTTCAAATCAGGTAATATTTCATCAACAAAAAATGGAAAAGAAATGAAAGAAAGAAAACTTAAGGTTGCGTTTAATAGAGTTTTTAAATATAATTTGAGAATATGAGTTATATTTAAAGAGTTTTAAAATTATGATTTGAATGTAGAAAATTTGTTTGGTGAATGAGTTTTGAAAAGAGTTTTTAAATTGAGTGATATGACATAATTTTTATGTAAAAATTTACAACTCATAACCAAAAACATAACCTAAAATTCTATTTAAAACTCATAAAATTTTTTTAAAAAAAACATTAGAAAATATTTTTTTTTAACATATAAAAATAATAAGTGCAAAATAAATAAATAAATAAAAAATAAAAAAATTTCAAGGACATTGTTCCGGTCAACCGGCCGGACATACGGGTACACAAATTTTCTAACGCGGGTGTGAATGTGTTTTAAAAACTGTAAACAAACGCTGCATTCAAACTAAATGGTAGAATCATATTTCCAAAGTTGTACCAAACACATCTTCTCTATACAAGACAATACATCAAGACTGTGGAACATTATAAATTGTAATGACCTTCCTTCACTTCTTGCAGTGCTCACTTTTAAATTGAAAATCTGAAAAGAGATCTGAATCGAACTCTAGACGGGTTACTGAATGAATTGGCTCGGCACAATTACTTTAGTAGATAATAACAGCTACAATTGATTTGGTTGTGTACTGTATAATCAAGCTCATTTTCCAAATAACAGATCATATCTCCAGCGCCACACAGCTAAACTAGTATCAAGACTCAAATTTCATTTGATCTCAGCAGCTCATCTGATGGATGGGGAAAAAAAATAAAAATCAAAGGTCAATGTAAGTGTCAAAATTCTGAAACAATTATTCAGTTCAAAGAAATTTAAATAATAATAAAAAAAATTAATATGGAGAAAATCCCAGCATTACTGTTAAGAAACACAGGAAGAAATGCCTATGATCCAATGGGGAGCTCAAAACAAACCCTAATACTGTATTTCAAACCAAATTCTTTTTGAAGCGGCATTTCAAAAAGGGAAGGGAAAGGAATGAATTTTTAAGGAATTCAATCTTTTATCTTTGAAACTAATTGGATTAAAAAGGAAGGATTTCATTTTCTAATTAGTTTAATGATACGAGGAATTAGAAAGTTTTTTTTTTTTTTTTAATTCCAATTCCTCGTAATCGTTAAACCAATTGGAAAGAATGTTTGAAACTAATTGCAAAAAATAGTGTGCATGGCTTGAGCTTTTTGGATTACGTTTTTTTTAAATTAATTTTTTTGTTTTTGTGTTTTTTTCTTTTTAGTGAATATTTTTAAAATTTTAAACATTTTTTTTTACTTTATTAGATGTACCTTACTTAGATGTATCTAAAAAGTAAAAAATTTGTAAAAAAATATTTTAAAAAATTAATAAATACAAAAAAAATGTACTGAATTCTCGTATTTTTTTGAGTATTTAGTGAATTTTTGAAAGGTTTTTTTCACAAATTTTTACTTTTTAGGTATATCTAAAAAGTAAAAAAAAAAAATTGCTTACAATATTAAAAAAATTCAATTAAAAAAAAAACACGAAAAAAAAAGTAGAATTTTCTGAAAAGTAAAAAATGGAACCAAGCTTTTTTTGGTAGTCCTATAATTGTAAACTCAAGAAATGAGATTGCAAAAAAGAAATCCAAGGCTAGAAATAAATTTGTTGGCCAATACCTGCTGATAACATCAGCCAGTGATGTGCTAACATGTCATTTGGCATCACGAATATTCTTTGAGACTCTGTTTGAGGAAACCTCTGACATCCCGCAGGAGTCACTGGGAATCGCGGACAATGGATTCACAATAAACTGATCACTGCCTTGCAGCCGAAACCTTCTGTTATCCATCTTAAATGTTTCAGAATTGCCATTCGTATTGGCTATGTTACGCACGGCAATCATTGGTTCAGTGCCTCTGGAAGAAGAGAACCCTGAGGTTGAATGTCGAGGCTCTGTTCTCCTCCAGAACTTTGGACTAAAAAATTCGGCACCGGGTAATTTGCAACAAGTGGTTCCTTCGGATTCCACATTTGACAACCTCGCGGTTGACATAGCCAAGTCATGTGAGATCTCATCCAAAGCCAGCTCCAACCCGTGCACACGTGTCTCCAGAGAATGAATTCCGTTTTGTGAGCTCCCCATGAATGTCTGAACAAAGAACAAGTGGAAGTGTTAAAAGAAACTTCATCTTAATCAAAAACGTCTGAATAAATCAGCACAAAAACATGAATATGAAAAGGAGCTTCACTAAGCATAGATATGATAAAACACTTGCCGAATATATCATAACAAGTCATAGTATCGCCGAAATCAGTTACTTGAAAGTGTAAGCGAAACAGAAGAATAAGGCAATTACCTGGAGGAGATTTAATAAACTGGATTGCTGATTTTCAATATGAACAAGCTGCTTGCGGATCAAAGATAGATCCTCAAACTCTTTCTGGCTTCCATGGGTATACTCAGTAATGTTACCAACTACAACGTTTGATTGTAAGCTCTCATCATGACATGGAACCACACCAGATCCAGCTTTCACACCACCGAATTTCTTGTCATCGGCATTTTTATTGAAGAAAGTCTGTTTTGTTTCTGGCTTTGCAAATCTACTTCTTACCTTCTCACCTTTCTCTGAACCTTTCATATCTTCATCCTCACAAACCACCATCATGGAGGGCTCCTGAGGAGTGGTAATTTCAATTTTCCAATCAGTGGATTTTTTACGATCAAGCTTTCGGAACATAGCTGGGCCTGACTTCTTGTCACTACTATCTAGAGGACTTTCCTGGGCAGTGGTTGCAACTGAACCATCAGGGAAAGAAGACCCGTTAGCTGGGATGCTTTTCTTCCTCATTTGAGGAGCTCCAGAATTAACCATACAGGAAGTTTTGGATCCAGGTGGGTGTTGTTCATCATTAGAATCCTCTGTCCAAAAATTAAGAAACAATACAAACTTCAGAACTAAACAGCATCATAGAAACTGTATCAAATGGAGGCCAAGTTATTCTACTATCTAGAGGACTTTCCTGGGCAGTGGTTGCAACTGAATCATCAGGGAAAGAAGACCCGTTAGCTGGGATGCTTTTCTTCCTCATTTGAGGAGCTCCAGAATTAACCATACAGGAAGTTTTGGATCCAGGTGGGTGTTGTCCATCATTAGAATCCTCTGTCCAAAAATTAAGAAACAATACAAACTTCAGAACTAAACAGCATCATAGAAACTGTATCGAATGGAGGCCAAGTTATTCTTGGAAAGGGAAGATAATCTGAACATACCAAAAATGAGAAATGAGAAGGAAACTAAAATCTTTCAAACTTCATTAACTACAGAACTCGAGCAACCAAATATTACTGTGACATTGTGCAAAATTAAAAAAAAAAGAAAACACCAAAAAGAAAAGAAAATATGTTTTATTGATTTAAAGAAATCAGATTTAAACAACACAGCAACCACACTATGTACATCACACTGGGAAATTTTGAAAAACGGAAAAAAGGGATGAAAATACAATAAATTTCAATAGTAAACATTATAATTAAATCAACATGAATGCCAATGTGCATAGGCAATCATAATGTTTGGTTGTCAAAATTCACATATAGAGAAATGGAAAATATAGATTAACCATAGTGACGAAAATCACAATTGATGCCTTCTTGCAAAAAAGAAATTCTCAGAATTCAGAAAGGAATGCTTGGAAAGAAAGGGACGTATTATTTTTCTGTTTTAAGCAAAAAAAATCCTTCTGGATCATTGTACATTTCAATTTGAATTATTTTCAGATTTTATTATATATTTTTTATTTTTATGCTTACATTAATGAAGGCTTACACTCTGTTTGGATTTAACGGTAAGAAAATAAAAGAAATTATTGTGATATCTCATTTAGGTGAGAAAATAAAAGAAATGACCGTGTTTTTTGATTATTATGTTTGGATGGGTGAAAAAGTGGAGCATGTGAAAGAGGGATACGTGTAGGATTTCTTTTTCTTCCTTTATATTTTAAGGGGCAATCTTGGTATTATAAATACTATACAACCAATCAAGGTGAGAAATTAAGGCTTGGTTTGACATAACCAAAAAAAGTTAAAAAGTTAAAAAGTCACTATCTTATTTAAGTTACATCATCTTATTGAAGTCACATCACCTCTCTACCACATCACTTCAAACTCAATTTATATTTCATAAAAAATTAAAAGTATACTTATTTAGTTTATCACAAACAACCCCTTAGCTTAGTAAAAGAGTTCACTTTTTCACTATTTCTCATCATTTCTCGCTCAACTTATAAACCAAACATGAGAAAAGAGTTATCGTTCTCATCATTTATTATCATTTCTCACCAAATCACCCCATCCAAATAGAGTGTTTAATACAAACAAGATTTTGAAAATCGGATCGGACCAGTCGGTTCGATTGGTTGAACCGTCGACTGGTCAGGGTCCGAATATACCCTCTAAACCGTTCGAAGCTAAAAACCGGTCTATTTAGAGAGAACCAAGAAAACTGGCAATTGAACCGGTCGACCCGGAGCCTGTTCGCCGGATTGATGGAATTGGAATTTATTTTTATTTTTTTCCGTTCTTTCTTTATTTCTTATTTTATATATATATATATATATATAATATAAGAATATAAGAAAATTTTAATTGAAAACTCTCTTTCAAGGGTCTCCTCTTGTGATGAATCTCATTGAGAGTTTGAAATTATTGTGAAAGCCTCTACCTATTTATAAGAAAAAAGTTCTTCCAAAAAAACTCAAGAAATCTATGTGGGATTCAATCAAATTTATTGGTAGGAAACTTTAAAATTTTGATATCCCTCCAAAATCTCCAAAATTTTTGCTCTTCTTTCAATCAAATTATTTGAATTAAAATCATATGGAGGGAATATTGAATATTTGATTTTTTCTTCCAAAATAAAAATTAATAATATTTTAAAATATATTTTTATATTTTTTAGTAAAAAAAAAGTATTAGGAGAAATATTTAAGATTTTTTAATTTATAATTTTATTGCTTATATTTTTATTTAAATATAATTTTAATATATTTATGACGTCATGATTCGATTTCGATTCAACCCGACGGTTGAACCGGTGACCCATCCACCCGATCTTTTTTTTGGTTCACTCACCGGTCCGGTTTTTAAAACATTGTTTTTAATAAATGGTCCTGACTTGTTATTTATTATAAAACAGATAATCTTGTGGAGAATATCCTGGGTGATTTTGAGTTTGAACTTCAAGCTCCATATCTGTTGTACCGGAATGCTGCTCAAGAAGTAAACGGAATTTGGTTCTACAATTTCCGTGAGTGCGAGGAAGTTGCAAACCTCATTAAGTAAAATTGTGTTTGTTTTGATGATAGTTATTGGTGTAGGAATTGTTAAATTATTTTTATATAAAATAAATATAAAATAATAAAACAAATAAAAAAATACAAAAACATTAAACATTAATGTTTTTAAAAAAATGCTCAACATGTAAAAAAATTTAAAAAAATAAAAATAAAATAAAAAAATTTCAGAAAAAAATAAAATAATAATTTTTACTTAACAAAAAAATATACAAAATTAAACATTAATGTTCAAAAAAAAAAAATGTCCGACATGTAAAAAATAAAATAAAAAATAGATAAAAATAAAAAATTTCTAGTCCGCCGAATTATTTTTCTAATACCAAATCCTGCAGATCCATCCGAATCACATCTACAACGTCTATCCTAAGCCCTTTGGCTTAGCAGTCACTTCCTCAACATTGTAAATAAACAACACATTAAATAATACCCACAGCTATCCTAATCCCAATCCGCTTCTTATACCCCAAAACAAACCGGCCTCAATGTCCAAACCAGAAAAAATAATATTCAGAAAATGGGAGAGATCATCAAACAAACAAACAAAATACGCATATAAATCTCGTACCTCTGGAAAATGATTGTGGTTCTGGAGGAGGTGAGACCTCATCCAAAACGTCAGGAATCTCCGTCCAAGCCCCCACCAATTGGATCATAGTCTCCCTCACAATCTTCACCTACACAAAACATAACCAAACAAATTCAATTTCAATCCACATTTTTATGAACAAATTCAAATCCTTCGCTAATTCTTTCATCAAATTAATTTGATGAACAAAGAGCTAAAAGTGAGCTCCAATCATTTCATCAAACTTGTATCAAATCAATGATGAACAAAATCCTTCACCAATTTTTCAACATTCATAATTTTTACTTAAATTTTATGAAAAATTTAAAAATAGTAAGGAATGGAGATGGAAAAAAAAAGAAAAGAAAAAAAGAGTAAGAATTAGAGGTTCCATACCAGATCAAGCTTCTAACCAAATTTTCATTAAAATTTGATATATAGAGAGAGAATTGGAGATGCTCTAATCAATCTATAGATTAGCAAATCAAATTGAATCTAACCTTATCCATTTTTTTCGCCTCGAACGTCTTCAAACACACAGCCTTAAACTCCATCAACATTTCCCTCTCCACCACCGCCAAACTCACCAGCGCCTCCGCAGCCGCCTTCCTCGCCGACCAATCCTCACTGCCAATGAATTCAACCAAACACGGCACCAATCTCTTCACTGTCTGGTGACTCGAAGCACCGCCAACTCCAATCACGTTTCCAATAACCGTTAAAAGCGCTGGCTTTGCCTTGAAGCTATCGCACTTCAACAACTTCTCAATCCTCGGCAGCAGCTTCTTCAAATACATAGCATCCGGATCAGGCGAAGCATCGATCGCCGCAGCCAAGCACAGTGAAGCTCCGATCTGAGAATTCTGATCTTGTTCGGTCACCAAAGCATCGATCAACGGCTTTACAATCGAAGTAAAAGGAGGTTTCGTGATGTGTGACGAGATGGAAGAGGTTGCGTCGATGCAGGCTGAGCGGACGGCGGAGTCGGGGTCGCGGAGGCGGCGGACGACGGCAGAGAGGAGTTTGGAGAGGTAAGGAGAGAGAGAGTCGCCGTGAGATTGGGAGAGGAGAGAGATGAGGCGGACGCATTGTTTACGGACGGGGGACTTGTCGGAGGCGTCGGTGGCGGAGATGGAGGAGAGGAAAGGGGGAATGGAGTCGTGAGTGAGGGTCCTGGCGATGGATTCGAGCTCTGCGGCGGCGGAGGAGTGGGTGTCGCGGTCGGAGAGCTTGTTGAGGCATGTTAGGACTCGGTGCTTCAGGTCTCGAGTTGAGGCCGCGAGTGCCATTGTCGGTGGTGGTGGTGGTTTTAGGGTTGAGGCGGTGGCGCAGCTCTTATTTCCGGCGGCATTGCCGGAGGAGGAAGGCGGAGGACGGTGGCGTGTGCCGGTTTTGGGTAGTGGTTTTGGCTCAGCCTTGTCTGATGCTATCTGCTCACTCATTTTATAAGGAGGAAACAACACCGCGTTTGGATGAAGGATTTGGTGAGTAAATAAAAGTGGTGAGACAGAAAAATAATAAATTATTTTGGTTTTTAATTCGGAATTCAGATTATAAGCTTAATTTAAAAATAAAAATAAAAATAAAAATTGATAATATCATGGGAAAATCGGTTTAAGATCCCTATCCAACTTTTAGTAATGGATTAGGTCCACAATGTGTTCTTTTGTAGCCTAAGGTCCCTCAATGTTATTTTAGAGTGTAAAATACCTGTCTTCCCGCCACGTGGCAAAGGGGGTGAGGGGTGACCCCCAAAAGGGGGTCCCAAGCATTATTCTTCAGATTATAAGCTTAATTTAAAAATAAAAATAAAAATTGATAATATCATATTATTTGAAAATAATACAAATTCACTTTTTGAACCATAATGATGCGCAGAGAATATGATTAATTTATATGACAGAGTATTATTTTTAATATTCTAACTAATTATCATATTTTTAAAAATTGAATCTAATTTTTAATTTTCAATAGCAATGCTCATAATCCCATTAATTACATCTTTATCGCTAAAACTAAATAATCCTTGGATTTTCCATTCAAAATAATAATAATAATAATAATTCTTGAATTTAATGCCATATGCAACCCCCAAAAAATGAATTTTTCATCCAAAATTTCATTTTTTATTTTGGGAGGGAAAAAAAAAAAATCTTATTATCATATTTTAGATAAGTAAGAAAATAAGACACAAAAGGAAAAAAAAAATATGAGTGAGTTTTTTTTTTATTCATTTGCATTTTAATCGGCAATTTTGATATTATAAAAAAATTAGGGGATTTTTTTTAAGATCCCTGATAATAAGATTTTATAGTATAAAGGACACCTAATATTTTCATAATGTCTAAGGTCCCTCAACATTAATCTAGAGAAAATTTGACCCAGAGAATTTCTCTGGATTTCCTAAAGAAATTCTCTTCAGAGAAATTTTGGAAATTTCTTTAGACTTCCCAGAGAAATTCTAGAAATTTCTCTGAATTTCCCAAAGATTTTCTCTACACTTCCCAGAGAATTTCTCTAGACCTCCTAGAGATTTTCTCTCTAGAGAAATTTGTGTTTTGACTTAACCAGAGAAAATTGATCAAAAAGAAACCTCAAGATCAATATATACCTAATCATTATCAAACCGGAGAAAATTCATTCAAAATCACATTTTTCAATTTTTTTTCCCAACCAATATCTGAGCAAGTAAACAAATTAATAGAGAAACTGAAACAACCAAATACCAAAAAGAAACCAACACATCTATAGTTTTACAGAGAAAATTCGCACAGTGACTAAATCCAGAGAAAATTCACACAATAGCCAAATATAGAGAAAATTCACACAATAACTAAATCCATAGAAAATTCACATATAATCTGCATAAACCCCCAGAATCTTTGAGTAAACAATTACCACTCTCATCATCTCCAAACTTGAACAAAATTGTTAATTTTTGAAACTCCAACTTGAACAAAATTTACAGAGAAAATCTCACAGAAATTCACATCAACCCAAAGAAATTCTTCAAAACCAGAGAAAATCGTACCTCCACCCCAGAGAAAATCACTCAAACCAGAGAAAATCTCTCTTTCCAACCTAGAGAGAAATTCCTTTTCTGAGTTGAAAATCATAAATCTCAGGCAAAATGTGTTCCATGGTTCACACATTGGCTCTAGAGAGAAAATTTTCAATTTTGTTAAAAAAAACCGTTAATGCAGAGAAAATTCAAAGACAAAACCATAAATGCAATAAGAACAATCAATTTGGAGTTGAAAGTAAATTTCAAACCCAGCGAAATTCTCTGTGTCTCTCTAGAGAAATTTCGATTTTGTTGAAAAAATCGCTAATGCAGAGAAAATTCAATACTAGAGAAATTTGAACAACGAAAGACCTACAGAGAAATTTGAACAGAGAATTTCTCTAGGCTCAAATTAAAGAAAATTGAAATTTCTCTGAGTTCAAATCAGAGAAATTCTCTCCAGCCAGAGAAAATTCACGAACAATTATCACAATTAGAGAAAATGCGGAGAAATTTGACATATTTGCCATATAAAATACAGTAAAGTTTTGGCATCTTTACATCCTTATTTTCCTCCCATTCAATATAGTAACAACAAGAGAGATTTTCCATTGGTAGCAATGGCTTGAATTACATATCCACCATCCATCAATGTGAACTACTGGGAGAGTGAGGAGTTGAGTGGCACCTTAAACAACAATCAACAATCAACAAAGTTGCAATTTCTTCCCCATTCCCACAAATTACACAACTTAGCTTCCCCTTCAAACCTCATCAGCAAAATCACATTCAAATTCTAGACTTCCAAAGAATTTCTTTGGATTTAAATCAGAGAAATCCAGAGAAAATTGAACATCACTGAGAAAATTAAACAAAACAAAGAAAATTAAACATCGCATAGAAAATTAAACAAGAATTTCTCTAAATCACTCATTCACACCACCCTCATGTATATGCACAAAGATATATTGATGTATACATATATATGCACAGAGAGAGAGAGAGAGAGAGAGATCGTTTTATGGCATCTACAACACCCTCTTCTTTGTTTTTGTCTTTGTTTGTAGAAGCTTTGATGATCAAATTGCGAAATCAGGTTTCACAGAATCCCCGAAGCTGAATTTCCAGAAATGGAAATTCAGTACCACCACGTTTCGTGACCATGTGAAGGGTGGAAGAAGTCATCGCAGCTCCAGTAGGTATGAAATCAACCGACAGGACTGCCATAGGAAGAAGCAGTGCTTGGTGCCCAAGGCAGGTTGAAGTCATAAATAACCAAATTTGGGGTTAGTGTGTTGAGAATGTTGGAGAAGCTTGGGATTGCCATATCAAAGGCTGTTTTGAGGGTAGGGATGAGATGGGTTGAGAGGCCATTGGTGGTGTGGTAGTGAGGAGGAAGATCAGGGGAGGATGAAAGGTGGATTTCTACTAATTCAATGGAGTGAGGGTAGTTTTCAGTGATTCTTTCCTTGATGGAACTGAGATTGATTAGTGTAGAACAAAGATATATGTGGAAGTTTTTGTGTGTGAGTTTCTTGGCTAGTTCTACGAAGGGAGAGATGTCACCATGGGCCAGCCAATGTCGACCACCATGTCACCGGTGACCTGATTTGTCAAATTCCTTCGTAGAAGAAACCCTAATCTCTCTCTCTATACATACATACAAATGGGCAGTAGAAGCAAAATGAAGCAACATTCGGAAGACACAAATTTCTCTGTGATATATGGGTTTGGGATTGAGGGACCTTAGACATCGTTAATAATATTATGGACCTCTTTCATTACTAAAAATATGAGAGGGATCTAAGACTAATTTTTCTAAAAATTTATAACTAATAAATTTGTTTTTTTTTTAATATTAAATCTCATAAATAAAATAGATAAAAAATCAAAATTTTCTCGGTGAAACTTATAGATTTGGTGAGACTCATTCCATATAAAAAATATTATGTCCAATTATATGATAGTAGTATTTTGTATAAAGAGTAACTATAAATTCATAAATTTTTATCCAAAAATAACAATCAATTATTTAAAATCATTTCATTCATCAAGTCTACTTTAGCAATTTGATTTCCACTGCACAAAATGATTATGGGCAAATTCTCAGACCATAAGTCTAGTTTCTAATATTTTGCTTTGTAAATAAAAAATTTTACTGGAAAATAATTATGGGCAAATTCTGAGACAATAAGTCTAGTTTCTAATTTTTTGCTTTTGTAAATAATTTTTTAGATAAATTACAAACACATCCTTTGAGGTTTATTTAAATTACAAATTATCTCTTGTGGTTTTAAAAATTACATTATGCCCCCTATGATTTCTAATTTCATAACAAATAAGTCATTTTATTAATAAATCATCAAGTTAATTAATAGTTTTTAAAAATGTTAAACATTTATTTTAATTAATAATTCAGATAATTTTATTATTGTATAGGTGAACAATTAGAAATTTCACTTTTTCAATTAATTCTATTAAATAAAAAATTCTAACAGGGAGATATTTGTAATTTTTCAAATCATAAGAGACAATTCAAATTTTAAACAAATTTTAAAAAATATATTTATAATTTATCTTAAATTTTTTTATCAAACACTCATATGAGTGTAGATCCGACATTAAAATGGATGGTTCACCCATAAATGTTGTATCAAATTTTTTATAATTTTCTTTTTATTCCCTTCACATTGCTCACCAAATGATTACCATCAAACTGTGGGTCTCAACCTTTCTACTACTGCCCAACTACTTCAACAAGAGTAATTCTATAAGTTATTTTTGGTTAGAAAATTTAAAAAGATATTTAAAATAAAAAAATAGATAAAATATATTTATATTTTATTTAATTATATATATACATATATATTTTTAATTTCTCAATCAAACATATATATATATATATTTTTTTTAAAATTTTCAATTAAACATAACGTTAAAATTTTCTTTGCAGAGAAAAGAGGCCCATCGGTGTAAAGTAGCAATAATTTTAGTTCAATAGCAATGATTTAAGAAGAAGAAAAGGAAAAAGGAATTAAAAGGTGGAGATAATGAGGTTTGAATACTAGTCTATAGCTAATAAAAAAGTTGTGATTTGAAAGAGAGCAGTACTGTAATGAGTAATGACAGTTTGGGTTAATTTATTTCCAGAGATAGGACAGAAAAGATTCATAATAAAAGGATTATTAACGAAAGAATTAAATAAAATTATACTTATTTTGATAATAGTTATTAGTGTAAAAATTATTAAATTATTTTTATATAAAATAATAAAACAAATAAAAAATACAAAAAATTAAATATTAATATTCAAAAAAATACCCAATATGTAAAAAATAAAAAAAATTCAATCCCTTTACTATTTTTTTAATACCACCTCCGCTTTCTCCATTCCAATTCCCCTTACAATCTCCATCTTAATCATCTCTTCCATCTTAATCTATTTTTTAACTA